CACTGGGGATGAATGAAGTATTTGAATTGAATGGTAGGACTCTTCTGCTGGGGTTAGTCACTTACTCATTGGGTTCCATTACTATCCAAATGTGGCAAACTAGAGATCTAGAGTAGAGTCTGGCGTTTATGCTTGTATTGGATGGGCAATACAGTACCTCATCTTGCACACCAAAATAGTGGACGTCTAAAACATAAGGCAAAGGGAAGCACAACTATCGCATATTAACCCCCACTCTTGATATGAATAAGCAGATGTTTCTCACAAATTTGGCCATCTGTGCAATGATAAGTCCTTGCAATTTAAGCACATTACAGCTATAAAAAGTCATCTCTTTACACAATGTATCTCACTTTGTTAATGCTGCCATGCATTCTGGCATAAGTGCTAGGTATCGGCTATTTCTTTCTCAGGTGCTGAATATGTCCCCCTTTCAAAGATTTTTAATTTTGTTTTATACTTTCAAAGAGGATCACCCTTTATAGCACTTTATTGCCCTTTTCAATAAAAGTTAAAACTGTCAATCCTTTATTTAGCTTGTACAAATGTGTGCCAAACGTTGTTTTAAAATTATAAAAAGCAGTGGATTTATATTGTCTTTCTTCATCATGTAGTGTTTTCACTTTTCATGTTGCATAACTCTGCCACACATTTTGAAAGGTGTACCAATGTGATCTGTGAACAAGATCACAATACAGACATTTCAAATAAAAATAATTTTAAGGAAAATGTGATTGTTGGTCCATTAATTAATACCTATGAGTAGTAATTCCACTTTCTAGATGAGAATAGTACTGTCTAGGGGTGGTTTGGTTAGCTTAAGGGCAATATAGGTGCCTTTTTCTCATCACTTATCAAAGAACCTGAGAAAATAGTTCAATTATTTCACTTAAGCTATCAGCAGACTTTGGTATACAGGAGCTGAACTGCAATGAAAATCAGAGTTTTATATAGTCCACATGTACAACATCTAGATAGTTGTCGTGGCTGCTGTGATTAATGGAGCTTGTGTTATACATGACATTACATATGCAATGACAAAGTATGTACCATATGCACCAGTGCAGTTTTTTTAATTTGTAAGGACTGCTTTTGGTGTGCATTCTATTTGGGAAGGAAACTGCATGACCTAGATGTGTTTGACCCCCACAATTTCACAAGAAGGTAAATATACGCATTATCAGAGGAAATATAACTTAGAACTTTATTCTGAGTCAACAACAATGAATCAGCGAAATTAGTTTTATGTCTACCTGCAGGATTTCCTTTTCAACTTGACAACATAAATCACCTTCTTTGTTTTGCTTAATGGGACCAATTTAACCATTGCTCCCTGGGCCTTTATGTCTTAGTAGTTTAACTAAACTTGTAAAACCCATAGACACTGGCTCTCTAGGACCAGGTGTAAAGATCCCTGAACTCAGCTACAGTACATCAAAGTAAAAGGCAGAATTTTTAGGAGTCAACTCCTCTTCCGATGGAAGAGATTTCAGGAGGGCAAATGGTGGCTTCATCCGAGTAGAGAATTCTTATTTTGTGCAATATGAACACTGCCAGACACTATGTAGCTTCCTAATGAAAAAAGGTAAAGCAGGACTGGAGCAATCAGGGTTAAGTACCTCAATCAAGGGTACAACAGTAGTGTCTACAGCAGGGACTTGAACCCAGAACCCACAAGGGCATGAGTCCCCTACATGACACCACCACCAAAGTAGCCATATAATTTTGTACATATGACGCTATTGACAAATTCATTACATGCTTTGATGTAAGCAATAATAATGGTGGTGACTGTACTTACATATAATTGTAGCAGCTGGGCTTCGCTTCCACCCTGTGATGCTAATTGACGACAGTGTCTTGGCCTGAAGCCTGACCCGAGTCCAAATAACGCCAACCCAGAACTTGGGATCAGATTGAATAATGACAGCCCAGAGCTAAGCATCAGATAGAAAAAAAACTTTGTTTATTGTGCATACAGACAACACAGAATTTGACATCAAGGATGTTGGTGACAGAACGCAGAGCTCTGGGTATTGTGAGAGAGGCGTCCTGAGATGAGAGAGTAATCCACAACGTGTCATACTGAGACTACAAACAATTCAATATACTGTACAGAGACCACAAGTTGCAAAAAGAAGGACAACCGATGTTTCCAATGAAAAAATTAGCATTATACAGAAACAAAAAAGAAATGTGATCTTAGACCAGATAACAAGTATGTACCCACACACACACAGGGTCAAGACCAATTAAATAAAATACTGTTTAAAATCAGGTTATAGACAACACACATTCTGTCACCATTGATAACCATCCTGTTTGAAAGGAATCAGGTATTTTTAGTGTCTCACGTGCTTGTTTGCTCACAGTGAAGATGACAAAAGCCAAGGCATCTATTACTTAATTCCAGTTAAGCCCAGTCCAAGAAGGAGGACTGCCTTGTCTCTGTGTAATATGAAATATTACACAAACGTTAAGGCTTCAGTCTGGGAGGGCATGGTAACCCCTTAGTCAGCAGTCTCTCCCTTTCACAGCTGCCAATAACATTAAAAGCAATTGACCCAAATGTCCAGAAAGCAAAAACCAAAACTAGTCATGCTTAATTGTTTATTGACCTAATCATTCTTAATAAATATATACCATATGTACAATTATTGTAAATGTACAGGTTTTTGCATGTTTTTTATTGACATTTTAGTCTTGTCTGCAAGTTACAATTGATTTTGTACATAAAAAGTCTGGAGAAAAGGTGCAAGGTGGTATTGACATTGAGTGTGGTTTTATTCGTGGTTAAAGGTCTGATCTGGTTATTTTATCATGATTCAAGTTAAAAGAAAGTCAAAAATACATGTCTTATTAACTGTAAAACATATGTATTTTTTTTTCTCATGAGAGGACAGGAGCCTAAAGGCAGAAGATTACAGCAGAAGGAATACAGGCATTCATCTGCTTCACCAAAGCTGTGCCTTTTTGAGCATTACTTGCTTCCAAGACTACATTCCCGGTGCTCACCTTCCGTTATGCATCTGGAAAAGAAAAAATGAACGAGCACATGGCCCAGATACACAAAATGTTTTTGTTCATGGATATGTACTTTCTCAACTAGCACATGCTGTTATTACTGATCTCCCTAGTGGCTCAATACAGATACATGCCCGTGTCCTGGTTGTGTTCTAAGGTTATAGGTTTGATTCTAGGTCATGTCACTAAACAGCTGTGAAATGGATTCCCCAAGTGACAGCGCACAATTGACTGAGCACCAGTGAGGGCAGGATGGGTACTCATGGGTACTGGCAAGATTGTCGCACAGATGGCGAGGGACAAGCCTCACCTCCAATTGGCACTGAACCTCCTGCCGGAGTCCAGCAGCTTGAAGGTGCTCAGGGCAGAGGAGTCTGCCTCCACTTCCTCATTCTCCCCCGTGTGCGGGCACGGAGTTCATAGCTGCGAGCCGAGATGGGGAAAAAAGACATGTTTGGCCACTCCAAAGTCAGGTTGACGTGACCAAAAATATTGGATGATTTTCATCTAAAAAGGTATATCATTAGTATTGTGGGGGTCTCTTAAAAGTAATCTATTCCAGAAACAAGTTAGTTTTGAAAGGGATTACTTTGTATTTGGGGGGAAATAATTTCAAAACATCATAAGTTAGTGATCTATATACTGTGTGTACAATTACTATGTAAAGGCATACAATTTTGCCTGATGCCTTATTAATTTAATTATTTAATCTTTTTAATCTAATAATTACACCAGTAACTTGGAAGAGTAATAAGTAACTTTTTCAGAGTACCCTTCCCCAACACTGATCATTGCAAAGCTGCCATGTGCTTTTCACTTCATCTCCAGCACCTCACAACTGCACATGAAAAGCATCATGTATGTGTCGTACCATGAAACAGGAAAGAGAAGAAAGGAGATGGCTTCATTTACACTTCAGACAACAGCCCTTTTCTTATCCCAGGTTATTGATAGGTATTGTTTTGAACCAGCTTATGGTTTTTCAGCTGCCCAAAATGCTAACAAAATGTGTACATACTGTATAGTGTGTACAGTGGTTCACTGGACTGAAATCCATTCTGTGGTTAAATCTGAACAAACCTAAATCTAATCAAACCAAATGCAACTGTCTACACTTCAAAAGAGTTTCCTGATTTACGACTGTTGTTAACAGCTTTTAATGAGATTGACAGAGCAGCTGTCTAGAATCTTAATCGATTGTAGTTGAGTTTATCAGCCTTCTGCAGGCTTAAAATTAATTTGGTCTTTTCACCAAGGACACAGGGAACTAGATGTCAGCAATGGAAAATGTACTAATCTTACTGTATATGTAACCTACCAAGAAGGGATGGTACATTCATCAGTTCAATAACTTGCATTGCTTTAAAAATAATTGTACAACATACTATAAGGAACAACAGACAATTACTACTCCATATAAAAAAAAAGATTGTACAAATAAAATGAAATAGAATAAATAAAAACATACATTTTCTATGATTTTATAACCCTTTTATAAATGTTTCAAAGATCATATTAGAACAATACTTTTAAACCCCACAAGAAAAGAAGCTCAAAGAAAATGGAAATGTGAACATGCTGAACAAACTGAACTCTGCACCTGCAGCAAAAAAGGAAGAATGAAGGGGGAAAAAAAGTATTTCTAACCTGCTGTGTTCCTCCTTGGTGTACTGAACCCAGAAAATAAACACGTACTGTAAGTAGCTAATACAAAGCCAAACATCACCAGTTTACATCACATTGTAGCTCCTCTAACACCTGTTGTGATTTTCATAACACAAGATCTGGACAGTTTTGAGATCAACACCACAACATTAACATGTACTATAAAAATAATACAACAAGTAAGAATTAACCTAAAGCAGAAGCAACATTTTCCTAATTTCCATTTGGATGAATCCCATTTTCAGGCAGAATTGTAACAGCAACAACTGCGAAGCAGCACAAGCATCAAAGATCAGGAGATCTCATTTGACTCTTTTAAATCAACCCCTTTAACGCATACTTCAGGGACTTTTTTAAAGAATACAGTGCATCTCACGAACATTTTGCAACAGTAATCTAAAATAAATCAATGCTTGAAATCTCATTTTTAGCTCAACACAGTATTTCATGCAAAACTATTTCAGGATTTCATCAGTGTCTGAATAATAGAGGAATTTATTTCCCAGGGTGCATGAGAGCTTACAAGCAGCATCTTACAGAAATTCCCCCAAAAATGTTCTTGAGCTTTTTAAATAATAAAATCTTTTTTTTTTTGGAGTGTTGCAATATGGTGAAATAAAGTGCTTAATTTCTCAGACACTAATGCAACAGATAATTTTTATATGAAATATATATTTTGGAAATGGGGATGTGATGATTATAGGAGGAATCTGTGACTCTTCTGATACTTCCCATAGGAAATAGGAATATTTAGCAGTAAATTTAGAAATTCCTAAACATCAAAGTTACAAAACGGGCTTGTTCCCCTTCTTTACATGTGTGTGAAAGGCCTCTCTCTTCAAGGGCAGGGACCTCTTTAAATTAAAAGCAGCCAATATTATTTGTAAACAAATACATTCAATTGATGCACCATGTGGCTCAAACATTTTTTGGCTGCTTTTCACCGCTGTGAAAGCTGAAGACGTAAAGGCACAGAAAGGACTATGTGATCACTACCACTGGCTGCACAGAACTGTAGCTGAACCTGCTAAGGGTTACATTCAGAAACTATCATGTTCCAGCTTTTGAGGGTCTTGCCAAGAAAGATAAAAAGAATACAATGTAATATTTCTTCCTTTGACATCAGATCAATGTATGAGAATTTTCCTTCTGCCTGCCTGCTTGTAGTCTGTACTTTAAAATTGTAAATCTCCTATGCCCTTTATAAATATTATAATATGGTAAAAAAAAAGCAAACGATCAATATCACTTTCCATGTTCCCATCTCCATGAATAAATGTAATACTATCAAGGGGAATTTCATAAAATATTTCACTGTGAATGCTTTTTTTGTCCTTTTTCCTAGGTATCAAACTTTTAAGCTGTGTTTTGTCTTATCCCATCAGCAGTACAGAAAGCCAGGTTCCAGGGAGTGATCCTTGCCTTTTATTCTGATGCCTCCCCTTGATATAGGTTCTATGCTTCGTGAAAGAAAACGTCCTACAAAATCAAAAGCTGATAACCCTTACAGCCGGGGAAATGCCAGTCAAAGGTGCAATAAAGGTGGCCAAGAACACAGCGATCTTGGTTTACAAAATGGTCTAGAAACAATACGTGAAGTCTCTCCATAGCTTTTCTTACTGTAGAGACCTTGGAAGGATGCAGCAATGCAATGGCACAGCGAGGACCATCTGGGTCTCTAACTGAAGAGGATGTACGCTCACAAGGGGGTGAAACCTGGGCTGGTCATCTCTGTGATGGGACTCGCAAGGCATTCACTTGACTTGAGGCTGGCGAGAGACTTGTAACTGGCCACAGATGTTAAAGACCCACATAACCCCAGTAAGGATGGGGTGTCTTCCTTACCTAAGAAAACAAAAGGACAGTCCCGGGATTACTTTCGTGCTCTTCTGGGAACATCTCAAATGAAACATTTTGACACAAGGAACAGAGTGGGAGAGCTGGCAAGTCGTGTGATGAAGGCCGATTCCACGGGATCCTTTCAGAATGAGATTAAAAAAAAAGACTTTGGATCACTGCGCTACAGTAAAGTCAACAGGCCAGTCCAGTGGCACTGTGTTTAGCACCACTCTCTCATGCTGGATCCTGGACTGGATTGCGGATTTGAGTGCCTTCTGGGCGGAGTTTGCAATGTTCCCCACCGAACAGGTTATCTCCAGGGGTTGTGTTTTTTCCCAAGTTCCAGAGACACCCTGGTCAGGCTGACTGATGCCTCTAAACTGCCAGTGGATGTTCTGTGATGGACTGCTATCCCGTCCACAGTGAAGTCCGGCCCTGCAACCAGGATAGGGTCTGGGCTGCTGCACCCCTTCCTGGCAATAAGCAGCTTTGTGATGAGGGACAGATGGCACCTGCTGTGGTCACCTCTTCCCCAGCTGGGGCTGGAGAGGCTGATCCTCGACCTGTAAGCTACTGTCCCTGCCCTGGAAGGGAAAGTGGCCACAAACCACCAGTATCTCAATCCCTCTTAACGAGCTCGCGGACAACGCATTTCATTGCCAACAACACCGCTGTTACACCAGTAACTTGGAAGAGTAATAAGTAACTTTTTCAGAGTACCCTTCCCCAACACTGATCATTGCAAAGCTGAATGCCATGTGCTTTTCACTTCATCTCCAGCACCTCACAACTGCACATGAAAAGCATCATGTATGTTTCGTACCATGAAACAGGAAAGAGAAGAAAGGAGATGGCTTCATTTACACTTCAGACAACAGCCCTTTTCTTATCCCAGGTTATTGATAGGTATTGTTTTGAACCAGTTTATGGATTTTCAGCTGCCCAAAATGCTAACAAAATGTGTATGCTCTGCTGTTCGTGCATTGATGAATAAAGCTTGACTGATTGATTGATTGAAACCAGTGAGGGACCCAGACTTTCCCTCGGGGCTCTGCCCCCTGCTGGGGAGCTTTGAAAGCCCAGTGAGGAGCTCTTGTGTCAGAACTTCTCTGTAGACACTGTAGAGTACACAGCTATGTCTGTAGTTCCTTAATGTGTTTGGGTCTAGCTCTCCTAGCTGAACGCTGCTATATTGAAATGTCTGCTCTACATCCAATTTGACCTATTTCTGGAGACAAAATGGGCCTCTAGAGTAGTGTCTCAATGTCTTACTTAACAGTCATGAAAACCAGAGATTTGTTTTAGTCTTCGTTTGTCACTGCAACCTGCACCGCCCTCAGTACTATTCACACTGTACCTTCACTTTGCGAGTGGGACTCATCCTGCTTGCTATCCAGGTCCTGTATATGAGCAGGGTCCAGGGAGGTCTGGGACAGGCTGATTTCGGCTGAAAGCTGCTCCAGACTTCGGAAGCTCTTTCTGTCAGAACTGAAAGAAATAGGCCGCGTGAAGATCATCTTCTTTTCAGAAATCTTTAAATCTTTAAATGTGGCTGGATTTCAAGCTGTTAACTGCTATAACTTCTGCAATCCAAACTGGAGTAAAGGAGTCTTTTTGTAAAATTTATAACAAGAGCAACTCAATGCATTCAGATTCATTCCTTACGCTAATGTTATTAAAATAAAGATATCAACAACTTAAGTAAATATACTCAAGTTGTCTGAGTCATAAGTATGGGCACCTTCATCATCCCATAATCAATGTATTTGCTAGCATTTAATATTTGCAATACTCTAAAAATAAAGGTTAGTTAATAACTATTCCAAATCTGTAGATACAGCCAAGCAACAAGTATCACAACCCTTTAATACTATCCAAAATATTTGAAAAGTCAAGACCCTTTAAGGTAAGACTTCCCATTCAGACAAAACTTTCAATAGTCTCCAACCTACATTTACTATTTATTTAATATCTCTATGTGTTATTTCCTCCTTAAACACCTGAAAAGCAATGTTTTAAGGCCCTTTAGTGAGCCATTTTGCACTACTGAAAGCTTTCTGAGTGACAAACACAAAAGAAATGTGTTTTTCGGAGATGAGAACTCCAGGTGCCTGTTTTTCAGACAGCTGGGATGATCTGAGGATTTTTAATCAGAATATTAGAGGCTCTACTACAGTATATGAAGAATACATGAAGTTACAAATATACAATGAAGTTAAAAATATACATGAAATTGCACATCAAAATCAAACAATCTTGTGCATAAAAGGTTCAGTCAGAGCTATTGCCTCTGTCCTAATCTTCCATTTTAAATAATATTAAAGCAATATTATTGAGAAAAGGAGGCATGTGACTCATGTTTTTGTCAAGCCCAGGCATTCAAGCAATAATGGAACACTGCAGCACAAACCATTTTTAACATCTGAAGAAAAAAAATCACACATTTAAGAGGAAAATGGACAAAGTTCACCGTGGTTTTTCACAGTCCATGGAAAGCCAACTGAAAATTGCATCTCGGTTTAAAAGGCCGTCTAAAGAGCTTGGTAAATGCCGCTCTGCTCATTTTCATCATGCCACATGCATTGTGCTTCAAACATTTGAGTAAAGGTTGCATAGCAGGGGAGAGCGTTCCTCGTCCCTCATGAATGCAGTCAGATTTATTAAAACGAAAAATAATCTGACGCTGAACTGGCAAGCTACAATCCCGCTGCTGGGTGCTTTTCAATGCAGATTCACTTCGGGTTCTATTTATTAAAATGACAATGCCGTGAATGACCCTAGAAAACATGTGAAAATGGCATTTGTATAGTTTTCCCATAATCAGCTCTAGAAATTAATATCAACACTAAAACAAAAAGAGAAAAGGTCTCAAACACCGTTATTCACAATGTGACACATTTTAAAATACTGAGCTGTACAACAACAGAACTGTGGGGCACAACAGGTCCCAATTCATGAATAAAAATAAGAAGGGACTGGGATATTAACACCATCTTCACTCCTGATTAAAAGTCAGTACAACTTCTACTGCTTAGAAACAGGCAATTAAACTAGGACACATATAAAACCATGTTTCATCTCTTCTTAGAGAACTGTACAAAAAAAAACACATTATATGTATTCATTCTGTTGACACATTTGTTGGTTTTACAATCATTGTAAGCTTTGATGATTACATTAATCATTCTGCAACAGACTGGTCACTATGGCTATGGTTAACTTGAACTTACATGCTTCTTGACTTTGGACAATAAGTGGTTCTTTCCATTTAATTAGAGAGTTAAAACACAACAAAAGAAGAAAATCAGCTGAATTCACCCTTTGTTTTCTTCTTTTGCTTTGCTACTATACCAAAAAAACAGATCAGATTTATCTAGCTTTCAAATAAACAGAAATCACACCATTAACATTAGAGGAAAATGCAGTGCTCCAAATTTTTATACTTCCACTACCCATATGGTTGTCAATTTGTACAAGGTGAATTTTCAAGAGCAATCTACAATAATCCATCACAGTGATTAAGAGAGGGCTGCTTTTCTGTTGTAAGCAATGGTGTTTCTTGTGTAAGTATCCACTATGGTTGTAAGTGCCGTAGCTGTATACAGTAGGTTTTCACAAGTAGCCCACTACAGCTGACCCACAGAATTCATACACAGAGTCCTGGAACACATACTCCTTCCACTGCCTGGTGTGCTTCCTGTACGCCAGAGTATCCAGGGCAACAGCTTTTGTATCCAGAGCACCCGGTGAAGGCCACTGATTAGTGAGGTGAGCAGTTAACTCCTGTCTTGATCTAAGGTCATGATTCTTTAAAACAGTCCTTTGAAAAGAAGACCGAGAAACAGGAGTTAATTCACAATGTGACTTCTGCAGTATCGTCCATCGCTTCTGCCAAATTAATATACACAATAGCCCAAATGTACCACACAAATACTATTTGATTCTATTGCATTTTCTAGAATATTCTGAACACCACCCTAGATTTTCACCCCACCAAACAATTTTTTCGACTTTAATTTAAAAGGAAACAACTGCTGCAGAGACAGAACACAAGCACCCGTGCCTAAAGAGTTCACAGACATGAATTTAAAGCATCTTAAAGCAACTTTTTTTCAAATTTTGCATATTACTTGGATTGAAGTAAGAACTACAGAAATGTAGTACAGTATATTACTGATGTACAGTATAATACATTTAAAATGGTGCTTAGCAAGTCTACATAGCAAAGGAAAGTATACCTGTTATGTTTTAATATTACATTTTTCAGAATTTAGCAAAATTAACAATTTTGGGGGCTGTTATATGGTCATGAACACGGTTAATAACCGGACAAACAAAATGGAGCATTTTGTTCTTTATTCAATCTAGCATTGAGCTAACCAAATTACAGTAGAACAAATATGAATTTAAAATCATATGACTGCCTGACAACTCCCTGGGGATCCTGGTCACAGGGTTGTCATTTGTCTGCCTTGTGCAAGTTTACAGTTGAGTCAAGTTTATTGAATCTCAGACATCTGTCTGCTTGTTTTTTTGCAGAATTGTTTTTGACTTTTTTTTAAAAAAGAAACTCAGTTCCTAAACAAACAGTAGGCTGTGCTTTCCACATCCCACATTCCACAAATAATTACAGTCAAAAAAGTCAATTGTGTTCCCAAGTTACATCCCCAAAGATCCCAAACTCAATTTGCACTTCTCGGATACAATCTCAAGAGCATGAGATCTGAGGTCGAATCTTCAAGACTGCTTTTTCATGCCTGTAGACTTGTACATTGATTTCAGAAACACATCTGCAGACAAAAAGTATATATTGCTGTCCATAAAATATACTTCACTTGCACAGTCCCATTAAAAATGAGAAGTCAAGTTAAAGCATAAGGCAAGATGAAATTTAGTTTGCTAGTTATAATGAGTTTGTGGGCTTCAGTCAGATTCCATGGGATTTAAAACCCAGATCCGAAAAATCCAGTCTAATTCCAGGGCCCAGAACGTTTCAGATATGATTAACTAAAGCTTAAAAAGCAGAGCAGAAAGATTAAAATTGCGGAATAGAACCAAGTTGGCTCTCTGAGAAACACCAGAGACTGCAGCATTAGCTAGTTCTGGGACAATAAACAGGTTTGGTCTGACCAGTTAATACCTCAGCTGTCCAGATCTTACTGAACAACTGAACAAAACAATATGAAGTGCTGCAAACACATACAGGACACATCGAGATCCCACGTTTACAGTACATGTTCAATTCACATTGTTATTTTATTGCATTAAACAAATTGAGCGCAGACTATAGTGCAGTGTTTCTATCAGTATAGTAGCACTATTACAGCAACCCATTTCACATCAGATCCAGATAACAACCTAAAACATCATGGAAGCAGCAAGTTTTAGGGGTTGCATTTGTCTGAACCTCATGTTCATGAAAACAATCATAAATGGAAAGCACTAGAAAAATAGAAAAATTGTTTAAAAAAGTTTAAATATCCCCTTTTTCGTGGACATCTACAGTAAGGAACAACTTGGCTTGCGATGTTTACCAGGATCAAAATGATATGGAAGCTGACTGCATCTAAACAAAGCTCCTGGGATTACCCTCAGACATTCAGTCTTAGGTGACTGGTAGGTGACAGTATGAAATCAGGACAATATCAGTTATTTGGTGAACAAACTGTGCTGGTCAGTGCTGCTGCTTCACAGCTCTTGGGTTCTGAGTTCGATTGCAGACTGAGGTGCCTTCGGTAAAGAGTTTGCAGGTTCTTCCCGTTTTCATGTGGCTTTCCAACACCATGAACTGGTTGGGTTACATGGTGTTTCAGAATTGTCCCTGGTCCCTGTATGCTTGCAATGTGATGGAAAGGTGTTCCATCCAGGATGTAGCCCCAAACTTGTGCATCACGTGTCCATTATAGGCTCTGGGTTGCCACTACCCTGATTATGAATAAGCGGCTTCCTGAAAATAAATTGATGGACAGACATTCATCCAAGCACAGTCTGCTAACGGTTAATGATAACTGAAACTACCTGTAAATACAGGCATTTTAGGGTCAACAGTGCTGAGGTGTGAATAGAGCATACAGAGACAGACAGGCTCAGTGCCTACACGCAGATAGAAAATACAAAGTGAATTAAATTATTCTAAATGACAATGTTCAAAAGACATGCTTGTAATTTAAGAGGATCCTGTGCTTCCTCCATTTATTAGGAAAGGGAATGACAGAGGAGAGTGCTCAAGATTCATTATGTTTCAAACTCCTGTCTGGGCAGTAGCATGCGGAAAGATATCACATCTGCTTAGCATTTCACAGACAAAAGAGATCATTTAAAATACTTAACAATAGTGTGGTAGAGCTGTGAAGCCGGTGTTCTGACCAGAGTGAACACTTTTCAGAAGCTGCATTTTTTTTTTGGCCAAAGCAATTACCATTAAAAAACCTCAAGTACAAGCTCTCTGTCACTCTCACGGAAGACTATGGCTGGCTCTTGAAAAGAGCCTGGAGATGTCTGATTACACTGGGTGTCATCAAGCATGTGGCTCATACTGTAATTTACTGAGCAGCAGCACTGGATAAAAGGCTAAATGAAACTACCGCACTTTAATGGACTGTTCAAGTGCTGAACTGAACATTCAGTTTCTGAAACACAATGGGGGGAAAAATACAAGACGGGAGTTTCTGAGCTGGTAGCAAATGTTTATTCAGTATTTCCATTTTACACGCCTGGGCTCATATTTTACTGTACATTTCTCTCGGAGACAATATATCACTTCAAGGAAGGAGCTTTGTACATTTCTTTGCCAATTCCACTTTTGAATTGGAAAACGTGTCCATCATCGTGAAACCTGAATCATTTTTGCACCACACTGCAAGTCAGAAAAATCATTATGTTCTTTATGCTTTGTTCCCTGTCTGGAGGCAAGACCAGTTCATTTCTGTAATAAGAGCTTCTTTCTCTCTTAAACCCTTAACATATGCAATATGCAGAAAACAAACTGGGCTGTATTACTTCTTTTAGAACAAAGGATCCTTAATGAGGGTGCCCTTCAGTTTCTTGCTGTGATTGAAATGTCAAGCTACAACTGCATTCTGCATCATCTGATAAAATGTCATTCCAATACACATTTTTAATGTACTGTATGACTGGATATGTAAGTATCCCATGTCAGTTTATCACATTCTAAAAGGTGTTACACACTATTCCAAGGAATGTTCTGAGAGGGGAACAAAATTGCTACAGAAAGAAACAAGAGGACACTTATTTATATAAAAATAAAGATCTGATGAACGTTGAGACATGGCAACACCCTTACACATTTTTCTAAATAAAATTTGGATGGTCAATGTCATATGCCACAATGTTATTAGGACCTGAAGAAATGCTCTCAATTATTGTAATTATAAAGATGATAATGCTGCAGAGTAATGCAGTACCAGATCTCACAGGCCATTGAAAATATTTTTCACATGCAAACCGCAACAAAAACAAATTAAAGAAAAAATCAGGAATGTCAGATTTAGCTAATTTCTTGATCTAAAGTTTTTAGGTTTTCATATGTGTTTAAGGTGTTTACCTTTTCTTAGTGTCTAAAGTTACATAAATAACTGTTCAGATTCTTAACTCCATAGCAAATGTGTTAAATGCAGCAGTTAAGTTGCCAAACAGTGGGAAAAATATTTAAATGATTTGGATATTGCATTAGGAAGACAAGTGCACAAGACATTTAGGTTGGAAAAACCCTAAAAAGTTCATTTCTAGAACAATTAATTCGGTAATAGTAGGTTAACAATTTTACAATCCTTAAGAAGACCATGAATAACCTTTAGCAGAGATGTGTTTCACTAGCACAGGCTTAAACCCAAAGGCTGGTATACTCACAGCTGGTCTTGCAGCTCAAGAACAATGTACTCCAGTTGCTCCTTCTCCAGCTTGTGACTGATATCCGTCTCCTCCAGCCTCTGAAGGAGGATTTTGTTCTGGGAGACTGACTCGGACAGCTGGGCTTCTCGAAGGCGAACCAGCTCCTCCAGGTAACCCTGATAAACCAACAAGACTAGGACTTCACTGTGCTGTAGATCAACACATGGGCTATGACATTCAGGATAAAAGACTAGATATACCTTACATTCTAGGTCAGCAGTCCCTGAGCTATGTAATGCATGTGATTAGTCATGTGGTTTATGTTGTGGCGTGTACCTGTGGGAGTAAGACAATCCTACCAAAAGAGGGGAAACTAAAAAGATGAAGTGGACTTCATTACCTACATTATAATGCTACAGTAAGTGAACATAGCACAAGATCATAGATTGAATGATCTGGTCATCCTCTCATGAAATCTTATGCAGCCGCAGAGCAACGGATTCTCGTTATCGCAATGAAGCCTTCTGCAGGTGTGTGGGGAAATGAGGGTGAGAGCAGGAATCTGAGGATAAGGAGAAAACAACAACATGTGTATGAGAATAAGTCAAGAGGAGGAAGTGTGGACGAGAGAGATCAGTAGATGAATAAGAAGGTTTAGAAAGAAATCGAGGAAAGGTCGGTTGATGGGAAAATAGGAAAACGGCTAAGAAAGATCTCAGATTTAAGTGCTTAGAGAGGCGCCATATAAAATAGTTTATTATTATATTATGTTCTCTGATGTGATTCCTGGAAGGGAAAACCATTTTTTTGATGTTACGGAGCTGCAAGAAATGACTCATTTTGGACTAATAGACTGAATGCCTTCTAGGTGATGTGCAAATGGCCGGGGCAGATATGTACAGCATATATGGTCTGCTTGATATACATTTTCCAGTGACACAGCAGCCCCTGCTGCAACAAAAAGCACCTGGCATAGCTGGTAGCTGTGGAGAGTAAAAGAGAACTGTGGACAAGTTGCCTGAACAGTTTAGGCCACCCGAGGTATGAGATGTATCTGTAATAATTGTTGATACTATTTTTATAATTTAAATATAACACACTGGACACACTGGAGGGAAGGCCAAGTGTCACAGTGTCTTTCAAAGGTGAGCAACCCGGCTACCTGCACCAAAATTTAAGTAAATACAACATGAAAATAATCTGTTATCCTGCACTTCCGGCCCACCAATAAACTTCCAGCACCCTTAGAAAGATGGCTCTCCGTTCCTGGAGAACAGTTGGTGCCAAAGTTTTCCTTCTTTGTCCCTTCTCATTTCTCTCCTTTGTCCGCTTATGTATGTTCTTTCTGATGTCCCCTCTGAGGCTAAGAGGCTCTGAGGTAAGAGTTTAGGTGTCTGAATGGAATCATCTCATCCAGCTTATCATCCATTAAGCATCCTTCTTCTGCACACATCCTTCTTCTGTTTCTTTCTATCCTTGAAGGCAGGACTCTGCTCACACAGGGGCAAATATGTTATGGCCCCAACCAATGAGGATGAGGTGTGGCATGGAAGGGGCCACTCCTACACTGAGTGGAAAGGTTTTCTCCAGTCTTCACCTTCACCAAGGTTGCAGGCATTTCACATGGCCCCAGAATTTTCTCTTTTGTCCTTACAGGTTGGGACAGTAGTACGGTCTGAGAGTCCTTATTATTAGATCTCTTCCTTCCCTAAGACTACTCTCTAATAGACCAAGCACAGTGTGTTCTAACCACATTGTTCCGACAATGACACGTCAGCATGTCCTTTAGCTTCTCCTAGTTCCTTTCACTGGAAGCTTCCAGGTCCTTCTTTGAGCATGATCTTCTGAGCATCTACGACTAAGGACAGAGTTTAAAGATCTGTCCATTTGCTTACTTCCTATTTCTTTCTCTTTATGACCAGAAAAACATCTCTGCCCTGACACTCTACATACTCCCTCTGTCGTTTTCTTCCATAGTGGTTACCTGTGTTACAGAAAGAGAGAAGAACTTGGCACCTCCTATACTTATGAGAATTCTGGGTTGCTATGAAATCACTGTCACCAAATGGAACACAGTGTGGGGGAAGGTTGTGTGTCAGGGTGTCTTTTAAAAGCAGGGTGTACACAACACCATAATACAATACGACATAGATAAGATTACAGACAGAAGCCTAACATTTTCTCTACAGCACTGGCTACCTTTGTAGTTTTGTAGAGGTCTGACAGCTAAGCCCTTAACCACTTCACAAAAACAAATTAAAACAAACCAGGGGGCTTTTTCTACTATTGTTAAAGTCTACTCCAGGCTTGGGTCACAATCTACTTCAGTTTCACCTCTAAAGAAAGGAACGTGCCCAAAATTTGCATCTCAAAATGGTTTAAAAATATTTTTTTACTAAGGATCCTGGAGCTTGTAGTCCCCAAGTCACTCTGAAATCTATCTACTTAAGCTGCAGGTTGGAAATGTACCTGTCCAGTATGATTTCTCCCCTCACTCGGTCAAATATACCCAATAGGTATGTAAAATATCTTTACACTTAATAGCCTGTAAAGATGAATGTATACACTACAATGTTAAAGAATCCCAAAGCTAATGCTTAATGTATCAGCCTTGGTTTTCATCACATCCCAATCCCAAGCGTACAGTCAAATTCTGCATTAACTAACTCAAGAGTGCTTCTGATACCATATATTACACAGTATGTTTTAAAAACATCAGTGTAAACTGAATAGTAACAATATTTGAGTGGATTATTACAGAAAACTTGAATCCATATGGTATGGAAATAAACCCTCGACTAGCTCTCTAAATGCACAAAACGATATTATTTAGATAATTACATTGTTTTGTTTCCTAGAAAAAGAGTACACATCCATCTAGCTCTAAATTTTTTCTTACTGGTCATTCTTCCCAATGTAAGTAGTGGCTAATTGCTCAATAGCTTTTAGATGATGCAAAGATTTGGCTTAATGTCACTGATTGTTTCAAAGCCCACAGACATTCCTGTTGAAATAATCTTGCCCCTGTTGCTTTGCTTCTACAGATGAAGCTTTACAATGGAGCACTGTAAGGCTAATCAGCTTCTTTGTCTTCCTGCTATTTAGTAGTTTAAAGATTTGTTAGTAAATTAAGGAGACTTAAAAATTAGGACAAATTTAAGGAGCTATTACTGTATATTTTTAACAGTTTACAATTCTGCACAGATCGGCAATGCAGTTGTCTGCTTTCTAGCCTCAGGTCCTCAACATAACATTTCAACAGCCTGTGTGTTTTATTCCTGGCATTAATACTCTCTTTCTATAATTTCCAACCAGCAGTTACAGTATCTCTGTTTTACTTTATGTATCTTAACTTTTTTCTCATTCCACTCACATTAACAGCTAGATGGGTTTGTGGTCCTCAAGGCATCATCTTTGAATTACATCCATAGTTCATCTCTCAGATTTGCTTTCCTGGACTTGTGGTTTATTGTGAATGGGGAAATATTGGCATGCAATGAAGGATGCAGGCTGCAGTCACTGTGGCTCTGCTGCATGCGTGGTATAGACCCATCATAGCACAGCCTAAAACCCACAAGCCTTACATATACTGCACGTAACATGTCAGATAAAGACAACAAAGCTCCAGCCTGGAGCAGGATGACTAGGCATACTGGAACAAATTTAATAAATCTGGGATAGATTTCTAAATCTTGGATCCAGGTGCAGACTCCTTCCATGTTTTCTTCTAAGGGAGCAAATTCATTGTAAAATATGGACATTTGGTTTTTGCACAGAATGTAAATGTCTGCTTATTTATTTGAAGGAGCTGCCAACCGAATAGTAAGGCTATGTGATGTATAAACACCTAAGAAAAATAGAGGATTTCCCCAGAAGGAAATCTTGCAGGAAGAAAACAGACAGGAGTGTAGTCTATTTGTAGTCTTGCAAAGTAAATGGGGACTACTTGATCCTTGCTCTTCTTTGCTCACTTCTTGGGAGTTTTTACTGTTAACAAACAAGAGTTGTGCAACAGTACTGCATGTCACTGAGACAGTGTTTTGTGTCTACTGCTACCTTTTGCTCCAAGGCCAGCCTGTACTTCTGCTCCACCCGTTTGCACTTGTTGTACCAGCTGCTCTGGTCCATGAAGAGGGCTGGCCCCATGTTCTCAGGGGTGCTGCTCTCACTGCCACTGCTTCCCAGAGTCCTCAGCTCCTCCTCATCGCTACTGATACTGTCAGAGCTGCGCAACAACAAGCACCCGTCAAGCAACAACATGGAAGTTTCAAAAAGAGTGAAAGACATTCCTCTCAGGTTGTTCAAGTGCTGCTGCATTATTCATCCATTCCAGGAACGTAAAGCTTCTCATCACAGACCCACTTTGCTATGAACAGCCACAGTTCTTGGTGTTCAGAAGCGCCTCCCATGTTTAGCCCAATTTCACATGCACTTAAATGTTGATGCCCTGTTTCCACCTCCCTTGCTGAATTAGAAATGCTGTATTCACATGGTTTAATTTTAGCTGTGGATTTTAACAACATTCAATTTGTCCAGTGTTTAAATAGTAGAATGTCATTAAGATGATTCAGATGAGGTTTTCTAATCTAAACATCTGTATGTACAGTTTACTTTGTCTTAGATAACATGAACATTTTTAAGACTGAATAAATAATCTTAACTTTTGGAAGAACATCTAAAGAATAAAAATACGGAATACTTTGAAGTGAACAATTTGTTACTCATTTTACATCAATATTTGAGAAAAAAGAAGGCAGACAAGCTATTATCTAACTGGACCAATAGAACCCAATTGAAATTACAAATTGTACCTAAAACATGAATGCCTGATCCTAAATATTATCAGGTTTTGAAATGGTATAGATTTATATTTGGAATTTTAAAACAGTGGGATGGTGTATGCTCTCTTCCTCAGCAGGCAAACAAAAACAAGTCTTGAGACAGGGAAGCTGTACCTCTGGGTGAACTTGAGGTAGGGAGTGTAGTCTATTATAGCAGGCCGGTTGTCATCAATGCCTTCCCCCTTCAGGCAGAAACTGAAAGGCAAACGTCAGAACACTCAGAACTTCCTTGTCCGTGTAACTGGGTCACTACTTTTGTCCAGCATCATGAAGGCTTGATTCATTAGAATATAAAACAGCAATACTTGACGAGCAATGGTCAAGGCGAGCCGGAGGCTGAAACGTGTAGTTAAACCAATAGCTTTTTCCACTCAATCATGAATCGCAAAAGCTAGACTATGCTCAGAGCAACACTCAATCTCCTCACTCGCCAAATATACAGGAAATCGTCTTCAATCAATACTATGGACTCAAAGCATATCACGTAACAGGAAATAGAGCTCTTGTTATAAAAATCTTGTAACTCTTCTTTTTGACCACCAAACAGTAAAATAGGTTAACAAATGTTAAGTGGTTAATGGAGATCAACATCAATTTTACTGTGGGTTGTTTTGATTACAGAACTAAAATATGTCATACTTTAATCTCATGCCATATTCTAATTTCCCAAATTCATAGCCAAATTTAAAATACGCTCTGCTGCCTTGTTTCATCAGCTACCCATTTGTTTTCTGTTCTGTCATGACCCATGGTTAAGATGATGATGATTAGGAAGGGAGAGAGCTTAGAGGTGAGGTAAGAAGAAAACCAGCATGAATTTGTCATACTGGTTATACCATAGCTTTTAAAGTGGTTATTACACCATGAAAGTGAGATGGTTACTCCAACAATGTGCAAGAATAGTTTAACTCCCAATAAGCCATATTCCATATCTCCATCTACATTAGCTCAGCAATTTTAACTGCTACCCAGCTAATATTTCTGTGAAATCTGCGAGGCAGCAGAAACTTTGAATTCTGTTGTGCTGACCTTTTTTGTCACTGAAAGCTTAAAGAAAATATTTATTATTCACCACCCACGGGTCAGCTTCACATGTACCCAGGGCTTGAAAAACAGGTTGGGTTTGAAGCTGCCCTCCCAGGGTGACCACTGTGTTCCCTCAGTCAGTCAGACCTCAGTGTGTGTGCGTGTGTGTGTGTGTGTGGGGGGGGGTTCATTATAGATTGAATCAGGCTGGGCAAGCAGACAGCTGAAAGGTCACCATGGCAAAACAGTCTGCAAAAGTGGTGCCACAGATGTCAGTGTGCACTCTACACACCAGTCACACAAAGCATGGTGCTCAATAAGGAGTTCATACAGTTTATCTTCATCAGCCAGGCTTTCTTCTCCACTGGCTGCAGTGATTTAGTGAAATAAGAACCAGATTTCACATTTTCACAGATAAGACGCTAGTTACCTAAAGTACTGCAAATGGAGAAACAACGTCATCTACTGTATCCCGCTAGGACTGACTGCAATGCTAGTACACCATCAATAATGCAGAAGACAGAAAAACAGAGTAACAAAATCTCTACATCTTATCATAAGAAATGAAAATATGCAATTCTACTTTCTGTTTCTTTACCATGTCTAATGAAAAACCAGTTGTTTTTATGTTAAACACATCTGGGAAGCAAAGGAGAAAAATAAAATGGAAATATTTGACTATTTGATACTGCACAATGTTTTTTCAATAACCTGGATTAATTCTTTGATTTGCACCTCAAAACACCTTTCTGTAAATTACTTAATATGCACCCCGTGAATCATCCATTAAAATACAAAGCAGAAATACTAAAAATGTTTTTCATGATGCAATAGGCTTTATAATTACCACTGCAGGCATCACAGAGACTGTCTTTAGAAAGACAAGCAGAACAGCGTTTCCAGGGGAATTCACTGCACACTCTTATGAGCTCATTGTTTCTGAAGCATCAATTGTTACACAGGCAGGCTTTGAGCAGAAACATTCTCAGAACAATTTGGGTGTAATAACATCCCATACCTGTTGAAATTGACCAAGTAAGAGTAATGAGCAATAAAAGCAGAAAAGGGCATCTATGTAACAAAAATGGACTTTAAAACTGTAATAAGCAAGAGTGAGGAATCAAAGAATACATAATACAAATAAAGAGCCTACATCTGACTTCTTCATGTACCACTGATCAGCACACATTCGAATAAGTTCCATGAGAAAATGTAACCAGAGATCTGTTCATTTTAAAGCTCTGCCATTTCAGTGCCTGCTTCCTTCACTTTGAAAAAAATTGTTTTTAAAGACCACTTCTAACCCCAACTGATGACAAACCCTTCAGAGACAGCCTTCATCTCCGCTAAGAACCCGTAGCTATGCCTCTCTGGAAGAGATGTCCAGCTTCCAGACAGATTTTCCGCTGCAAGTTGTTAACAAGGAAAAATGTCAGAAAAGGGGCCTATTGTGATGGTTACCTGAAATCAATGGCGTTGAGGCCGATCAGCATGTCGGCCAGCAGGTTTGCTTCCTCACCCAGTACAATTGCTCCATCTTCATAAAACCTCCTGCTCAAGACAAAACAGAATTTAGCTCATAGCAGCATTAAGTCAATAACAACTGATGGAGTCAAAAGTCAAACTTTTGCACATTTTGAGCAATTTCATTTTCAGGTTTATTTACTCAGGTATAATATGTATATTTAATTGTAGTACATTTTTAACACTTACTCACCTAGAATCTCAAAGCATTTCACGTACAGGAGGAGACCCAATTCATTCACCACTGATGTGTAGCAACATACAGTACAGGCTGCCAGCCATTATTATGACCAGACCCAGCTTTGCTTGGCTTCTGAGGTTTGACAAGATCAGGCTAGAGAAGTGGCTGCTCTGCTGTCAATTTTAATTAACTTAAGAGAGCTCGTTAAACTGGAGGCTTTGGGTCAAAATCACAGCCACAGGTTAAAGCAAAGTCTTGCAGAATCAAGCTTTTTGTCTTTTCAAAGCAAGTAAGGCACTGGGCCAGACTATTGGATTCATTAACAAACAATAGGAGAGCTCTGACACAGCACTACAAAAAAATGAGCAAGGAACTGCGAAGTAAAAAAAAAGTTATTTGCCAAAAGAAAACGTCATGCCATGTCATTTGCCAAACCGCTCTATACCATACGGCATCGAGGGAAGCCGGAGCCTAACCAGCAAACAACGAGCGCAAGGCAGGGCACACCCTGGACAGGGCACCAGTCCATCACATCATACATGGGGACAATCTGGAGGCCACGGTAAAGGCCGAGGTGGGAAATTTGGCTCGGACATCGGGATAACTCCTTACTCTTATAGAGAAATGCCCGGGGATCTTTAATGACCACTGAGAGTCAGGACCTCGGTTTAACGTCTCATCTGAAAGATGGCGCCCACTACAGTATAGTGTCCCAAAAGAAAACATTTCCACAATAAATCAATCGTTGTATTCAACACAACAGAATTGTCCGACCTGGTGGTTCTGAAGTCTCTCAGGGCTGCAGAAAGGTATTCTGAAAGGCGTTTTTCCATCAACGCTACCCTAATCCAAGCCCGGCCCTGAAGAAAATAGAAAACAACAGGTTTTCATAAATGTACATCTGATTCCTACAAAAAGGACAAAGTCCAAATTTCTGTGAAATTAATGACATACTACGATACACATTTTCAAAGATGGTACTGAAGCATTATATTTGCAAACAAATTAGCAGTGTTTGTACAACAACATGAAGTGCTGTTGTGCACTGAGGTCTAATAATCATGTGATGTACATGTATGTGGTTTCTTTATGCAGCTGCTACTTTGCCTCCATTTTCTTCTAATATTGTTGTATGAATACATTACCTCCATGTCTCAAACTAAATGTATTTCAGGCAGCGAACGGATAAAGCTTTTATCCATTAGGAAAAAGCTCAATAGCTTACAGATAATGACAGAAGACATATGCTCTCTACATCACATACTATAGCCTTCTTTCCAAAGTTATCTTTTAATATACAAAAATGCGATTTTCATTTGATATTCATGAAACTGTATCATGGCAATCAAAATAGTACTCATTTCAAATGAACGTCCTAATTACAACCATTTGCCGTCCACTCTCACAAAGTGATTCCTTGGTAATTAAATACATTTATTCATTTTCCCATAAGTATGACTGTGCCAGTCAGGAAAATAATTACCAACAACAACAAAACGCTCTGCAGAAAGAGAGTGGTTGCTCCTCCTCAAATAATATAAGTAGGGTGAATTTTACTTTGCGTTTATGTTTAAAATTATTTTAACTGCAAGCCCCATGTCACCTTGGCTCTTGAGGACCGGACATTCTCCATGCTCTCGATGCTGCTGAGGCAGTTGTGGGGCACCCTGCCGCAGGCCACGCGGATGTAGTCCCAGAAACCACGAGGGCTTTCGTAACCGAACCAGGTAATCTGTCCTGGAACGCGAGGAAGAAAAGGCATCAGTGGTCTGCACTGCACAAGCCGTTCAATCGCCACATGTCCACTCCATTTTTTTACAGCTGTAAATAACACTGAACAGGCTTACTGTAGGACCAAGACACTCTCTTAATTTCTCTTAATATTTATGAACAGAAGAATGTTAAGAAGAGAGGGGTTTGAGGTCATTCTGCCAGTTGTGAGTTGCAGGGTGATATGGCTGCTGGCCAATTTCATGTCAGTCATGTGTACAGTAAATGCATTTAAATTTTCACCAATTGGTTATGAGCCCACTTATTTTCCATATTTCCAACCATTTTGAAAACTCAGGCCTACCTAATAGAAGGTGATGTTCCTTTAGATAATTTGTTTACTTTGATGAACCTGCTGAGCCATACAGGTGAACAGAATCACGCTCGCTAAGTACAAACAGGCATATACAGTATCACTCAATAGCATCTGCCCAAATTTAATATTCAGAACGATCCCCCAAACCTGATTCCTAGTTTGAGGAACATAGTGGTTAAGGACATCATTATCCCTGTTCTGTCAAGTATTGAAATAACTAAACAGAACATCCTGTTTTTGCTCAATGTTTATTTTCCCTGGAGTGTATAAATTCCAGAAGAGATACTGGGAACACTGCACATTTTGTGGACTTAGTATGAAAGGAAATTTTTTATTGTTCTTTTTTAAAAAACAATTTATATTACATTTGTAGAAATATTGTTTTGATTGTGACAAACATCCATCAATTTTCTTCGCTTCTACAAGGACATGGAGCCTATCCTGGCAAAGGTACACCCTGGACTGAACACATGTCCATCACAGGGCTCACACAGACACCCACTCATTCACACCTAGGGCTAATTTTCCCAGAAGCCAATTAACCTACCAGTATGTCTTTGGACTGTGGGAGGAAACTCACACAAACATGGAGAGAACATACTGTACAAACGTCATGCAGATTGCACACCAGGTCTGGAACTGAACCCAGGGCCCCAGCGCTGTGAGGCAGCAATGCCCTTATTTATGAAGACAAAATATTTAATCCAGTCAACCCACATTAGGGTCCTGACACACCTGCTGTGATCAGTCTGGGGAGACTGTCCAGAAAATGAAAGTTATGTATTATTACACATACTATACAGAGAAATGTACAACGACCGAAGCAAAATAAGTTTACTTAGCCTCTTCCACTGTGAATTAACAGAACTTGAAATAACAAATGACTGTAGCTTTGTTAATTGCTTTTGTAGAGTTTTGAGAATAAAGTAGGAATCTCCTATACTGGTGAAGTGATGAAAAGAGTGTTTTTTCATCTGCTATTTCACTTTTAAGTTCACAGTTTGTTTTCAGAACAAAAGCATATTTACCCTTCCAAAAACATTTGTCTAAAAACTTTGGATAAACAATGAACATCAGCGTCTTGTTGTTTATTTGTTAAATTAAGTGTAATGAAATAAAAAAATAGTTTACTTGTATCTCATTTCTAACACACACTCAGAGAAGACTGGCTGTTTGTCACAAAGCAAAGCCAATGGCAAATTGTGCACCAGACCCTTCTTGAAAAACAGTTTAAAGTTAAAAACCAGTCAACATTATTTTCTTTGGAGACAAGAAATATCACAGCTTTTCCTCTACATCTGCTCAAAAATGCAATTAGCATGTCTGCCTGCAATAGACACCATGCCAGCTCTGACTGAAATCTAATCATTAACCATCATCAAACTGTCCTGCTTGTGAACCCCTTTGCATTAAAATTCAAACATCCAACCTCAGTTTTCTGCTCCTTGGAAAAAAGTGTAAATCACTGACTACAACAACATCTTACCCAAAAATTACACCTGGCTTGTAGTTTCTTCCACCAGGTAGAGACCAGTTTCCCCAAACAGTACAGTACATACAGTATTCATTAGTAACAGAGGAGTTTCTCTTCAACATATATGAAGAGTACAGATTACAATTAAGGTCACTTATTATAATATACCAAAAAGACCCATTTGGCTCATTCAGTTTATTTGGTTATCAGTTAATTGATCTGAATAACATTATATCTTATACTATAATAATTATTTTCAAAATACATAACCTCCCTTAACAGATTCTTTTACCATACATGAAGTATGTATATGTATAACCTGGTATAATGTTAATATGTGGTCATTGATAAGATATAAGTAATAGGTTTATTCCATGCTGAAAAAAAGAAGAGAGAAAACACAACGTTTCAGCCGTGGAGCCTTCTTCAGGTGTGAGATATTGATAAGATATTGTAAGACATAAATATTTGTAAGACAATATATTTATAAGATCCAACAGTAGCATCTGCAGTATTAACAAGCAGGCTTATCTGCCTTCCTTTTGGGATCATCAGAAGAAACAGCACGTTGCTGAGAAATTTAAATTATAGAAACGTGGTGTAAAGCAACAAATGATCAGAAATAATAAGGCCAATGGGGGCAAGAATGGCAATAAATTAATAAATGTGCGGAAGCCAGAACTGTTTCTACTGTAAATTTATTCTCGACTTTTAAGAACAAATCCAGGGAAATTCCATTTCTGCAAAAGATTAGGTTCTGCTTTCACAATGTAAGGGATCCTGCCAACATCTGGATCAATGTGAATGAAAATGGAATTATATACAGCCAGTTTTCCAAGCATTATACAGTATACACGTCTTTGGTACCGAATCATCTATTAAACAAAAAAAAAATGATTACTGGAATATAGATGGCTATTATTTCATTTTTTTCCATCTGTAATTTTCAGTGAATTTGAAGCTGTGATTGCATTTGTAATGTCAAATTCATCATTCGGATCCCTATTTTCTCAAGCATTTAGCTGATACCTGCATATGGGAAAAAATGACCAGGTCTAAGCTTGTTAAAACATACAAATGTCTACATGTGTAGCACAGTTTTTGTCTCTAGAAAATGCATTTGCCAACTTTTCTGACTCATAAGCTCCCATGAGCAATCCTATTGCACTCAGCCTTCCTCTGCTTCAATAGCACTGTGTAGGTGGTGTGAAATTCTTCCTACCAGTTGCTGCCTCTGCATTGTGGAGACAGTATTCAACACATTCCTTGAAGGTCAACATGGTGTGCAGTGTGTGATTGCCATTTAAAAGGCACTTACAAAAAATACCCAACAACATTGAGGAATAAAACAAAGAACTGGCAAAACATATTACTGAACATTCATAAGAGAGAAGATAAGATCACTTTATTGGCCATATACAATTTCTTATATTAGGAATTTGTTTTCTCTCATACCCCAACTTGCTCTCCATGAGACACACAGACAGGGAGAGAAGCTTGGGGTCAGAGCGCAGGGTCAGTCATTTTACAGCGCCCCTGGACCAGTTGGGGTGAAGGGCCTTGCTCAGGGCCCCAATGGAGTAGGATTCCTCTACCGGCTGCGGGATAGGAACTGGCAGCCTTCCAGCCACAGGCGCAGATTCTGAGCCACAGAGCCACTGCTCCGCCCAGCACTCAAGAAAGAACCCAGGAGTTTCAAGACGCTTGCGAATAGTGGTGAAATACACGGCCCAATAGGGACTTTCAGTTTATATGGATAGATATTGCTCAAGTTTCCTTCCTCTGTCCAAGGCCCTTGTGGTACAGGAGGTTAATTGGCTTGTGGGAAAATAGGCCCTGCTGTGAGTCCTCTTTGTCTCTCTGTTTCTCTGTCTTTAAATAGCAAATGACTGATGCTTTGTTTATTGCTTTTGTATACTGTAGCTTTGAGAGTAACATACTGTAGGTCTCTCTGTGCCCTGTAATTGGATGAAGTGCTTACAGAACACATGGATGGACAGGTATTTTCTTTCAGCAGCCTTTGTATTTCCAACCTGTCTATTAACATCTCACAAGCTACAATAAAGAGAATCTTAAAGAGAACATATAAAATAAGAAATAAGGCTTATGACAAACATACTGAGCAATTACTAGCACAGAGCTACTTTGTAATCCTAAATCCAGGGATCTTGTCCTTCATCTTTGGTGACAGATTATTTCAGTAATGATAGCAACGCATGTGGTCAGATCCTTATAGTCTAGAAACCACTCAGTCAGCATTCACCTGAGCAGGATGCCAGCCTACTTACTTCTAGGCCGTCATCAAGAATCTCTACATCATCAGTCATCTCTACATCTAAATGGTAAAGCTAAGATTAACTTAGCTTTTTAAATTCACCCAAGATGAACTACAGCATGTTTGGAAAGCACAAAAATTAAATGCAGCAGACTGTAATCTCTGACATGCTTCCAGATTAACCACTCTGATCTAAACCTCCCATCTAATTAAGGTGTCCTTACCTTTCAGACGGTGGCTGAGAATTTGTTCCAGTATAGAGACAAAATTGACAAATTCAGATGAAGAGTCATCGATTGTATCAAAACAGGATCGGTCGATGAGAGTCTTTACGGAGAATCTGTAAAAAGAAGACAAGTCAAAAACACACTGGAAAGAAACAGCATATTCCAGAGGGGGCTATCGGAG